AGAGAGAGAGAGAGAGAGAGAGAGAGAGAGAGAGATGGAATTATGAAAACAAATTTGGCCAATTATCATATGTTATTCAAGTCAAGTGAATTAATTTAATAAAATACTTCATTATGTGTTTGCAAATGTGTTAAATGTTTGTAAATTCATGTTATTTAGTGTAACAGTAATATAAAAGCTAAAATCAAAAGTCAAAGCAAAATAAATATAGCGTTAAATGTATTAAATGTTATTCAAGTACTGCATATAGCACATTAATACAGTCAACACTTTTAATTTTAACTTAATTTAATATGACCAAAGTTTTAAAGTAATTAAATAAATTGATACACAATATGTTTTGAATAACAAACATGATATACAGAATCTAATAGATTGATGTAAATGATTAGTAATAAGCAACAACTAAATTAGTATAAAGTTAATACGATACTTTAATTCACGGACTATCAAACATTTTAAATGTTACATGTTAAATGTTACATACATTTACGTAAATTTACATTACAGAATATGTTACTGTACGTTATACTGTACAAGAATGCGCTGTACAGAGTGATCCACATATTTACAGATTTATATTTTGACTTTTCAGATGTCCATTTATAGGCAGTTTGAGTCAAAAGTTTATTTAAATTTTGTAGTTTAATAGTACCCTAAAATTCCGTGCATTACCTGCGGGTTATCTATTGAAAAAGTGAAATTTTTAAAAAATTCTTATGTGCGGGTTATCAATGGGGTGGGTTATGTATTTTCTTACTACATGTAGAATAGCATTCACATAAAAAATTTAGATGCGGGTTATACATGGATGCGGGTAATGAACGGACTTTTAGGGTACATGCTTCGAAGAGGTGGCAGGTATTTTGGATACCAAGAATGGAGAATCTCAAAATCCAGAATTTATATCCTTGCATCATTGCAAGATTTATTCTACATAATATTATTTTAACAATTTTATATGATGGAAATTAAAGTCGATATAGTATAAATAAATTTATACTATAATATTATTAATAATTAATTAATTCAGCAAGTAGTTTGTTGAGTATTTAAATTTTAAATCATTCTGTGATAGACAAACATGGCATACGTCACTACATTAAATGTAATATAATTTTTTTTTAAATGATTTCAGTTATTTTTGGAAACTTACAGTTAGATTTTCTTACCAGTTATTTTAATTTATTTAATGGAACTGCTCATAATTTAAATATTGTTATCAAACTGCCCAGAGTTTAATGAAGTAAAATACTGACAATAAAATGGAATTACTCGCATAAAGTCAAAAATTGCCCAACTTTTGCAGAAAGATTGATGTGTTTGAAACACCCTTTACATTGTAATGATTACATCGTTCACTGCATTTTCTGTTTACATTAACTTTTATATTGGAATATAAAAAATCAAATGAAATAACAATATTTATGATATAATGATTGGCATATTTACAAAACATTATTAATTAACGTCATATTAATTGGCAAAAATAATGTCACCGAAAGCTCTGGTATTGTTGGCCACCGGCGCCGAAGAGATGGAAGTAGTCATTACTGTTGATGTCTTGAGGAGAGGAGGCGTAAGCATTGGATTCATTAAATGTAAAATTATTCAATACATTGATGTTTGCGAACAGATTTCGGTTATAATGGGCGGCCTTTCGGGCAAAGATGCGGTCAAATGCAGTCGCGATGTAGTGATAGTTCCGGACATTTCCTTATCAGAAGTGAAACAAGAGTTTGATGCGATTGTATTGCCCGGCGGTCTCGAAGGCGCCAATGCTTTGGCCGCCTCTCCACTCGTCGGACAACTACTTCGACAACAGGAGGACTCAAAGCGAGTGATAGCAGCCATATGTGCGGCGCCTATAGCTCTGAAAAGCCATCGAANGATTGTATTGCCCGGCGGTCTCGAAGGCGCCAATGCTTTGGCCGCCTCTCCACTCGTCGGACAACTACTTCGACAACAGGAGGACTCAAAGCGAGTGATAGCAGCCATATGTGCGGCGCCTATAGCTCTGAAAAGCCATCGAATTGGACTCAAGAAGAAAATTACTTCACATCCGTCTAAAGCGCAAGAACTGAAGTCCGACTACGACTACAGCGAGGATAGGGTTGTGATCGATGGACAGTTGATTACAAGTCGAGGNAACAGGAGGACTCAAAGCGAGTGATAGCAGCCATATGTGCGGCGCCTATAGCTCTGAAAAGCCATCGAATTGGACTCAAGAAGAAAATTACTTCACATCCGTCTAAAGCGCAAGAACTGAAGTCCGACTACGACTACAGCGAGGATAGGGTTGTGATCGATGGACAGTTGATTACAAGTCGAGGCCCGGGAACTGCATTCGAGTTCGCTTTAGCTATTGTTGACAAACTTATGGGAAGCGATAAAGTGAAAGAAATATCAGTTCCAATGATTCTCAAAGAGTAGTTTAAAATAATAACTTTTTGTTTACTAATAACAAATCAATTTATTTCATAATTGTTTTAAAATCTATAGATATGTTAAAACCAAATAAAATCTATACTAATATTTTGCGAGAATTTGTTTCAATTGAGATCAAAGACCGCCGCCGCCAGAGAAGTCTTTGAGGACGTGCTGTTTATAGGCCTGATTCGCCTGTTCTAAGAATATAAACGTCAATACTGTGTGCGGACCCAATCGCGCGTAATATGGAGTGAATCCCTTCCACAGAGCGAACACACCTTCATTACGAATCACACGGAAGAGTACATCCTATCAAATATACAAACCATTCATTCATTAAATTAATTATCAGTTTATAAGTTATGAAATCTATTACGAAAGCGCCCTTATATTCAGGCTTTCCATCGATTATCTTCATGTTTTGGATTCTAGTTTTGGCTGTTGGAGAGAGAGAGAGAGAGAGAGAGAGAGAGAGAGAGAGGCAAATAAATCAATTTAGTAAATAAAACTCTGAAGTGTGGATGAAAACAAACCGATATCGACGGGCATTGAGGCGGCGGTAGTGATGAGACCGGATATCATGGAAGCGGCGAAATGACACATAATATTATCACTGAAATAAGGAGTGGAGACCAAAATCTGTTTCGCCTGCGAATAAGAGGCGAGTTGTGCGGCGTTGACAACAATCGCTCGACCGATGGTTGGAATACATCCGCGCCATAGCGTCAACACTCCCTCCTCTCGAGTGATGCGAATGAGAGCGTCGAACACATTCTTATAGCCGCGTCTCTCGGCCAGTGGTAACCGTCCGTCGGATGTCATTCGGATGAGTGACACTTCGGCCGGTGTCCCGAAAAAGGCACCGACGGCTCCGGCAGTCATACCGATGCCGGCTTTGGTGAAAAATCCGG